AGTAAAAAATAATTGGGATTTCCTAGTGAATGCAATGCAATGCCGAGCAAAAAGCAAAAGTAATGAAAACAATAAAAGTATATTGATAAACTTAATAAAATATTACCAGCCAAACAGTTATACTAAACACAACACTATCACAGAACATAGATAAAAAGAAACTAATGAATAAATAATAATGAACTTCATAAAAAATACTAGGATCTAGGAAGATTAAATATGATTTCATATTTACTGTCAAAAATATACCTAGTCTCTTTCCTCTAACCATCATCTGTGTAGTCAGATTATAGTCTAACCATTTATATAGTAATTATATCTCTTATGAATGAGCAGTGTGGTGGCCTAGTGGTAAAAACATTTGCCTCCTAGTCAGAAGTTGAGAGTTCATTCCTAGAAAGTGGCAGATGTTTCTCTCCTAGTGCACAAAGAAAAAATATCTGCTGCGAACTCCATGTTGCATCAGGAAGGGCATCTGGTAATGCTCAGATCCATCTAGTTGCCCTGACTCTACCTGAAATAAGGGATAACAAGATTGTAAAAAGGAAGCTTTATGTATGTTTATGATCACCTGTGGGAAAAAAAAAACCATCTGTAATATCACCTGATAGTAAAACTGAAATTGCTCTGTCTTCCAAAACTGAAAAGATGAAGATTTCAGACAACATTGACTGTTTTGAGGGAATTGGAGTGTGATATGACAAATATCCCAAGGAAAGCATCTAATTCTAAAATAGTTGCTCATATGAAGCCTTTTCACAAACATTAACATTTATAATAGCTCCACTACACATTAGCACCTAAGTCAAAGGTAAATTCAAATCTACAATAGCTATACAAACAATTCTTCCAAGGTATACCAAGTACTTCATCAGAATACAAAGAACTAAGCACTGATCATTGAGTCAAAGATGAAAGTGAAAGAATTGGATTGCACCTACAAAAACAAACATAATGACAAGTGCAGAAAATACATAGGTCAGAGTGCAGATCAACGAAACCATTGAAACAATATAGGAATTCAACTTCCTTGGATCTAAAATTGACCAATGTGGTGACTGTAGCACTGAGATCAGAAGGCACATAACATTTGGAAGAACTGTAATGTCTGGCATCAATAACATCTGGAAGAGTAAAGATATCAGCTCCCACCCAAATGCTGATTAGTCAACAATAATCCAATTGTTTGATACTTATGGCTGTGGAACTTAGACTGTGAAAAGGGCAGATAGGATAAAGGTAGATCTCTTAAAATTGTAGTGCTGGACACAACTATTATGCATCTGCATTACTATTACTGTTAATCTTCTCATCACTCCTTATCACTTATTCCCTCCCACTTGTGACTGTATGACTGTAACTTTGTTGCTTGTATCCTTACAATTTATATTGACTGTTTCCTAGTATGATTTGATTGCTTATTGTACCCTATGACTATCACTAAGTGTTATACTTCATGATTCTTGACGAATGTATCTTTTCTTTTATGTATACTGAGAGTATGTGCACCAATACTTTGTGTGTCCAACCATACTTGGCCAATAAAGAATTCTATTCTATTCTATCTCATGGAGCACAAAAATTGTAAAGAAGGAAGTCCTAGGCCAAGTCCTAGACCAAAAATATCACTCAAAGCCAAGATTGCAAGCAAAGTCTATCAGGTTTGGCCATGTCATGCGAACCAAGTCACTCAAAAAGTCAATCATGTTGGGTGAAAAAGAGAAAGGGGCACCTTAGTACCTGTTGGCTTGACACTATAAAGGATGACACAGGGATGATAATGGAGGATCTGAAGAAGGTAGTATGAGACAGAGGGACATGGAAAGTGCTGATCCATAGAGTGGCCAAGGCCCAGATACAATTGAATGGCTAGCAATGAAACATTGGTCAATGTTGAAATGTTGAATAACCCACTTTCCTAGGAACACACAGACACTTACAAGCAGACACTACCTTTGCATTTTATCCAAATATATATACATAAATAATTGTGAATTGCCTATTAATGCATAACTTACCAAATATATGTACATCTATTTAACAATATTATTGTGAAAACAATCACTGCATGTTGACCACTGAATGTAGAGAAATAGGCCAAACAGTCTTTATTTAAAAGGGCTGGCAAAACTGTAGCTTCCTGTGCATGTTTTCCTTTTGAAGTTCATGACAAATAAAATCTTCACATAATGCTTTTCTGGATCACATTTTCTAAATGTGATCTTTTAGAAAGAATTTCTGCTTCAGGTACAGGAGATCTGTTAGTGCAAAGTCCCAAAATAACTTGTCATTAAAGCTTATTGTAAAATTAGTTTGGAAATATTTTTTGGCAAAACCCTGCTGAATTTTTACATGCCAACCACAGACCTGTTGTAAAATAATATTAACTACTTGCCAAAATGCTATACGATTATTTAATTCAGTTTATTACAATAATAATCAAATATTATTCCACTTTTAAAAGAGTTGTATAATACATTTTATGCTTGGAAGGAATAAAGGCAAGTAGGTGAAGAAGTTTCACAAAACAATTTAACAGCTTCAATACAATCTCCATTGAAGCAAGGGTTCAATTTATTAGATATTGACTACATTTAGCAGAATAAAGTTTGGGTAAAAGATTTTGAAGTGACCTGGAAATGTGCTGAAACACCTGAAAATCTGTGACAGATGTTTTGCAAATTTATGTAAAACTATTTATATCAAGGGTGTTAAACTCAGATTTACCCCATGGGATGCTTAGATCTGGCCCATGGGGCTGGCCTGGAAATAGCAAAGAACTGGCTCACAGTGCCTCAGCTAGTGTGTCCCCCCCATTTCATTGCTGGCTGAAATTGAGCCTCTGTGGGTCGCATCCAGCCCTCCGAGGCTCAGTTCAACTTCCCCAGGCCTCCCAGGCCTGTTACAGACCAAAATGGTGACTCCATGGGCCTCCCCAGGCCTGTTACAGCCCAAAATTCAGCTTCCGTGGATCTTCCCCAGCCTGTTACTGAAATGGAGCCTCCAGAGGCCTCTCCCGGCCTGTTACAGGCCAAAATGGAGCTTCCATGGGCCAGATTCGACCCTGCCCACCCCATTTCCCATGGCTTTACTGTACTTACTTTTTGAAGCTTCAGAAGAGGCTAACCCACGTGGCAGAGAGCCAAGGCCTTTTATTCAGAAGCCTATGAAGCTATAAGAATGTGAGATGTAAGGAAAACAGCTTTCCCCATCTGAATAAAAGACCAGCTTCTCTGCCATGAGGGCCTGCAAGCTTAGTTTGGTCCCAATCTGGCCCGTGATAAGCAGCCTCCTGCTTGATGCTGACTGGCTTAGTATGGGCAGCTTCTGGTATTGGGGCATGGCATCCAATCAACAAGGGGCTTGCAGTTCAGCCCAATGGAAGCAAGCTCCTCATTGATTGGCAGCTGCTGCTGGTTCAATCCCTGAAGCAGGAGGCTGCTGTGGCCCAGTCCAGGCCTTTCTACTACCAGAGGCCTGCTGGCCACATGGCCCCAGCTAAAGTTTTTTATTCAGAAGCTGGTGAAAATGTTTTCCTTAGATTTCATATTCTTACAGCTTTGCCGTCATCTGAATAAAACACTTTGGCTTCTCTGCCAGTGGGTCAGCCTCTTCTGGAGCTCTGGATATCTTCAAAAAGTAAGCAATCCATGGAAAATGGGGTGGGGGGGGGCATAAGTGGAATCCTGGATGCTAGGAAAGCAGGCCAAGTCTATGGGGACCAAGTGGGGTAGGAAGAAGGGAAGCAATTGTGGGGACCCCAGGGGAGCATGAGGTATTTCAGTGGATTGGAAAGGCCTTGGATAGCCTGCTCCTGCACTAGGCCCCACATGCTCTTCCCTACTCTGAGGTACCTCATGTGCATTTAATGACCTGCACATTTGATTAACAAATGCATTAGGGAAAACAGGGAGTGGTCATGTTCATTTAATGTGATTCAATCAAATGAATCCTTGGGTTATGAAAGTAATTGACAAGCTCTATCACATTTGTAACTTGAGGATTACCTGGGTAATGAGAGTGAGGAGGGTCTCAGGGAAGTCCTGCCTTAGTGTTTGACCAGCACATGTGCCCCCCAACATGAGTCCCGTGTCATGCCTACCATGACCACACCCCCTTGGGCATGCCCCTCCAAGGTGAAACACAATCCTGATACATCCCTCAATGAAATCGAGTTTGACACTCCTGATTTATAGGATTAAATAAATGTTGTTCTTGTTTAGGTTTCATTGGTTTCTGTTGGTGCCATCCATAAAATTCCAAACCTTCTGTTATTTTTGTCAACCAATTTTTCATTAGCTAAAATGCTTTGGAAATTTATTTCTAATGATAAGGAAATGTAATGAAATAATTATGGACGCTGTGGTTTTTATATTTACTTATCTAGTTGTTAAAAATTTAATATGGATGCTTTGTATCTCATCATGCTATTATTTCTTAATTCATCTGCATTCTTTATGGCTCCCCACATTTTTCTAACATATTATAAAACAAGAATATCTTTTAAAGTCAAGCAGAAATAGATAATATAAAATTCATTTTTTTAAAAAAAAGATTATGTCAAAGCAACAAAGAAATGAAGAAGAAATGTGTCAATGTGCAGAGTGATGAAAGATGAAATTCAGAGTGATGAAAGATGTAAATAAAAAAGCAACAACACCAACAGCAATTTCTCATGTCAATTCCAATAATAAAGATCAATATGCAAATAAACAAATGTGAACAATATTCTTAAATATCCTGTGGGCAAGGTGAAAAACAGTCATTTTGCATGAGTAAAAGTGTAATTCAAGTATAATATTAAGTTCTGCACAGAAAATAATCGAAAGAAGAGTATTTTCCTTAATCTGAATTATTTTGTTTCCTGAAGCCTGAGAAGGTAGGATTTTCATACTTATTTATGAATATTTTACACATACAATGTTTTATCTAATTGAAGTTATATACACTTTGAATAAATACAATACTGATTATTATAGAAGTTGTATACATTAATTTACCTTGTCACCTTCAGAAAAAGTTATTCCATCAACAGCTCTTTTCCAAGTAATTTCAGGAACTGGTTCTCCTTCTGCTTCACATATCAGAGCGGCTTCACCATTTTCATAAGTGGTTTCATTTTTAAGTTGTATTATTTGAGGCTGTACTGTTAGAAATATAAATTATATTACTTGTTCTTGATATCAAAGGCTACATATCACAATTTCTTGATATACGTGTATATTTTACTTCTAATGCTTATCTGCATTATAACATTATTCCACTTTTGCTAGAGGTTTTCCAGCTGAGAAAGTTAATTATTGAAATACATGTTGCATATATTCAGTATACATGGTAAACTAAATTTAGTTTCATATACTTAATGAAAATAGTATTGATTGTATAAAATAATAGCTCTATTCAATCTCATTTGCTCTTCTCTGTTCTTGTCTTTCTCGCCACATTATAGATTAGACTGGACATTATGAAGCTTTCTCCTGCAGATGCAAGATATGTCATGTTTTTCTTCTCTGTTCTCCAGTTCCTTTGCTGTACTTAACAATTTATGTCTAACCCTTCAGCAGCTGTTTTTATGAAAGTGAACTATTTATTAGCTAATGTTGTCACAATATTTTTTCTTTTTCAACTTTTATGAATTAAACTCATGAGAGGTCCTTGGTGCTCTCTGAGCTTGGTTCTTTTCTTGTAGATGTCAGGTTCATAGAACATCAAGGACCCTTCATTTCAACCTTGAGCTACAAATATTATACTTTATTGAAATTCACTAATATTTCTAAAAATAGTAAAATGGATGTTTTTAGGGCAGCTACTACTTTAAAATTTTCCAGGTTGAATGGATAAGAATCTATAGAGATAAGAAGAAACAATCTTATTGAAGTGTGTAGCAACCATTAAGGGAAAATAAATGAATTTCTGGGAACCAGGAAAGCATCTAATTACCGTACCTTGATTCTTTTTGTTATAAGGAGGCAAAGAACCCTAATACAAATAGAGAAGGCTGAAACATTTTAAAGTCCTGGGAAACAATATACCTATTTTTTTAAAAAAATATCAATGTGACATGAATATCATCTAATCATGTTTATCCTATACTTTCCTTTTGAATCACCTTTTCTCATACTGTAAAAAAAATGGCAAGTGGAACATCATAGATTTCCTGGTTTATTTATTTATTTGTTTGTTTAGACTTGCTCCTCTATATAAAAGAATAAAATTTTGATAAGGGCAAAGGTAGATTATACAGAGGAACTTAAAATTTCTCAGTATACTTTCATCATTATCTGTAAGACAGCAGTGAATATTATATTTTTTAAAAAAAACCAATCAAACTTTTAATTTGTACTAAAATGAAAAGTTATTTTTCATAACACTTTTTCTGTAACCTTTTGAAAAAAGTTTGATTAAAAAAAATCAATGAAAATTAGTAGCAGCTTGGGATCAGATGGCTTTCTTAACTAAGAAAGAGAGGGACCGTTGAATTTATTTCAGAATCAATTAAGCATTTCTAAGAATTTTACATTCAATAAATTTGAACTGAAGTTCAAAGACAGCCAAACCAAACAATACTTACCAAAAACTTGCATGAAAGTCTGATTTGTCACTCTTCCGGCTTTATTTCTTGCTTCACAAATATACGGACCAGAATCAATATTTTGTATATCTTTTATGGTTAGTTCCATATTCCTGCCTCTTAATGTATATTTATCATTTTCCTCAATACGTTTGCCCTTTCTATAAAGACATATAGATACAATGTTTTCTTTATAAGCTAAATGAACACTAAAATTCCAATCTTATTACAACTATGTAATATACTGGTAAGAAGAAAAGCACAAGTTTTTAATCACTAACTGGAAAATTATAAATGTTGATATTTCATTTGTGTGTGAAGATTCATTTTAATACTCTACTATGTAATTAAATAAGAACATACATTTAACATATTTGACATTCTACAACAGGGGTGTCAAACTGAAGGCCTGCAGGCCAGATTTGGCCCATAGGATGCTTAGATCTGGCCCATGGAACCACACAGGAAACAGCAAAGGATCAGCTTCCATTAAAAATTGACACACGGTCCTCCCAGACTCCATTTTTGGCCACAATGGCCTCCTCTGCCAGCAAAACGCAACTCAGGGGGATGTGTGTAGCCTCCCAGTTTCATTTTCCCTGGCAGAGGGCTGCAGGAGACCATTGTGGCTGAAAACGTGAGATCTCCAAGCTCCGTTTTCACTGGCAGAGGGCTGTAGGATGCTGTCATGGCCGAAAATGGCTTTCAGAATCCCATTTTCACTGGCAGAGCACTCGGGCCACCACAGACATGAGTGACATCAAGCTGGCCATGCCAACCCTGGCCATGCCCACCCTGGACCCCAAAGTCAAAAACAACTCTGATGCGGCCCTCAATGAAATTGAGTTTGACATCTCTGTTCTACAATTATGAGAGTTCAAATTCCATTTGCTTTATTAAACTTACAAAAAGACATAATAATTAGACTTCCAGCTGACATTGCCGTGAGATTAGATGTGAGGAACTCCCGTGCCAAGTTCTCTCCGTTGAGGTCCGAAAGGACCTAAAAGGTGATGGAGAAAAGAGGGGTGCCCTGTAGGACACGGAGAGCAGCAATTCTCCTGCCTGACCCAAGGCTTCTTCCCTCTCCCTCCGCGAGAAGAAGAGGCAGCCATCATGGTTGCCACAAAGCTGGGACAGCCTAGGCAACAAAGAAATGTGCAGGAGCGGTATAGATGAACTGGAGCTGGGTGAGAAGATTCTTTTTTTATTTAGACCCTAACTTTAAAAGAAAAAAAAAAGAGGAAAATTCAGGAAAGAGACTCTTAGAACTATTTCTTAAAGCAGCGAACAACCATAGAGAGAAAAATCCTAGACCCAAAAGCAAGGAACTAAGGGAAGAAAAGCTAAAGACTTTTTAAAACATAGAAAATTGGATTTTTAAAGTGGGTAGGCATTGTTTTGGAAAGGCATTATAAAATGCTGGAACTATCTAGTTGAATCTACTTGAATAGCTGACTTTGCTTCCATAAATTGAACTAAATTTGGATTAATCAATTTATCACACTTGAAACAATGTTGAAATCTAAGCTGAGGGTGCCATCTACTGGTGAATGGAATATACCATACCCTTACGAGTTTAGAAAAAAAATTGATAAGAGAAATAAACAACATTCATCTGGAGGACTGTGGTGATACTGTTCTATAACTATCTATTTTATGATTACGGGAGATGCTATTGTGAGAATAAGTAAGACTCCTAAATAAAGTAAAGTGACTTTTGATATGCAGAAGCTCCCTGGACTACTTAAATGGAACTGATTAATAATCCTGAGATGAAAAGAACTATGATTATTGAACTTTCTGAGAAACAACATTGGACTGGAATATATTGTTTTTGGACTTATTAAACTAAGACAAGATGCTCCATCAGGGGAAAATGAGTGAAATTTCAAGAGAAATGATGTTGATGTTTCAAAGTATTAGGGATACTACGACAAAGAATCACAGATAAAAAAGCCTAATGCACGGCATAAATGAGAAAATATAAAATATGCTACAATTGATAATAAATAAAGATCAAAGAGTCCAGAAAAGAGAAGAGACAGCAGAAAAAACGGAAGAAAAGATAGAGCAGACAAACCAGAAAACAAAGTAAGAAGATGAGAAGGAGAAAACAATAAAGATAATAATGACTGATGGGAAAAGTACTTTAAGAGGTTTAAAAATGGAATTGGATAACCTGGAAGATACTTTTTTTTTTTTAAAAAAAACAAGTTTTATTAATTTTTAAAACACACAAATTGTCATTATTCATTACATGTTTAAACCTTTTTTCATTGTCAATTTAACAAGTCAGATAAATTATAATTCTGTTTTAAACCATTTCCATACAACATACCAAAACCTCTTATTCAATTTCTCTTTACTTCTCTTTACTCTTATTCAATATCATTATTATTATTTCATCTGTTTCTTTCTGACTTAGTTACCATTATTCTCAATCTATATTTCTACAATTTTTAACTAATTCTCCCCCCAAAAAGACATATACACACAACACACAAAACATAAAAAAAAATCTTTTTGGAAAGTAACTTGGACCCAGGTATCTCTCTCTTCATGGACTTCAATTATATTCATGCTCATCTTACATATCATTACTTATTTTATTTACCATTCTAAGCCTTCTATATTAACTTCCCCACATATTTCACACTTCTTACTTCTATCTTAATTAATCATCTTAATTTGAATCATTATATTTATATCTTTTGTCCATTTTTTATCATCCCTTTGTCTCATCCCTTATAAAAAAAAAAGAAAATCAGTTTCTCCTGAAATCATTAATCAGAGTATGATGCCTTTCTATCTCCCCCCTAAGTTAATAAAATTAATCTTTAAAATAATATCTAATACCCAATCCGATTTTGCTTGGTACATTCTATCTAACTAATACATCCAACATAATTAAGTACATAATTAGACAATAAATCCAAATATTAAAAAAAAATACTATAATAAAAATTTTATAATAACATCAGTACCATAGTCTTATTAAACTCTTTAATTAAAACAATATTCTAAACCTCCCCTATTATTAGGTTTTAAAGCCAATCATTTTTAAACATTTTAACATTTTAATCTCTTATCAACTTTTAAATCATTACAATACTACCATCTCATCTTATGTACCTTGCAAAATCTTTTTTTTTAAAAAATTTTTATACTTTATCCATTATCCAAAAAAAATTTCTTTTTTTCATTTAATTTCAAAACATTGTAGCTTTTCTCCACCTTTTCCCTTTCTTTCTTCTCCCAACAAACCTTTCTACCCCCCCTTCTTCTAGCCTCTGCCTTGCCAGCTTCCCTTCTCTGTCGTATTCCTTTTCCCCTTTGTTTACTATCATCATATTGGTTTTGCACTTTATTTTTCCCTTTCTTAAATGTTTTTTTAGATCTTAAGTCCTTAAGTCCTTTAATTTTCTTCTTTTCTCTTCTTTTCTTTTCTTTCTCTCTTCCTTCTTTCTGGATCAAGTTCTGAGATTCATTAAAAATGGCTCCTTTCTTTCTTTCTTGTTCCTCTGCTGTCTTCATCTGTTGTAATGTTTGTTGATAATTAATAAGCACCATTTCTAAGAAAAGGAAAGCTTCTTCCACACCATCTTTACCATTTTTTTTTGCTTGTTCATATTCTTTTCTTAGTTCCTCAACAGAAAGAGCCATTATAAATCTTTTCTTTTCTTTTCCCCTTCTTTCTTCTTACAACAACCAGAATATTCAAAAGAAAATAAAAAAAATAAAACAGTCCCAAAGTTATCAGTCAGTCCAAACCAAGGCAGAGTTCTTACTTTCTCCTTCTGGGGTAATATCAATCCAAGAGAAAGAAAGTCCAAATCTGTTTAAAATCTTATTGCAATATATTCTAGTCTTCAAATCCTTAAGGCATCTGCTCCAACAAAGTCTTAGCATACAAATGTTTTCTTTTTAATCCTCTCTCTTCCCACTCATCGCTTAAAACCAATTTTCACCTAAAAGAAATAGGTTTCTTAATATCCAGTTATTTATTCCGTAGGAAAAGAGGGAAAGCTATCCTTTCAGCACCTTCAAACAGCCGCTTTTTTCCTCTTCTGGCAGGTATTATTCAGAAAGTCATACTTTTCAGGAATTTTATTAGATATGTCTTAGAGTCCTAGGAGCCAAGAAAAACTTTCTCCTCTCAATCACTTTCTCCACTTCCTCCTGCGCATTCTTACCCGGCTGCCAGCTTCTTTGTGGCGGCCATTACAGACCGCCGCTGCACCGTCCTGGGAAAAGGGAGTTCTGCCGGCCAGGGAGGGAGTCTGCAGCACCCCCAAACCCTTCTCCGGATCCCCCCTACCTTCAGCTGCCCCTGCAGGGCAGCCTAGCTCCGTACCCGGCTGGGTCGGAGCCCCAAAAACGGCTAGCGCGGCAGGGATCGCGCAGCTTCGCAAATCCCTGCCGCTCGCGAAGCCGACAAACCGGAAGCCCAACCTGGAAGATACTTTTGAAAGGGTGATAGGGGTTTGGGTGGATACTCTAGAGACCTGGCAGCCTATGTGGATAGAGATGGGATAAATGTTCAGTGTGATTGGTAAACACACAGATGCTGATAGAGACAAAGACCCAATAGAGGAGTATAGGAGGCAAGCCAAAAATTGAATAAGAATTGAAGTATTAAAATGAACGAGAGAAGATGGATAGAAAGGAATTATTATTATTATTATTATTATTATTATTATTATTATTATTATTAT